GCCCCCCAGGGAGCTCTTGGGACACCTGGCGACCTCCAGGTCCTGTTCCTCCTCCATGTCCTCGTTGACATTATGATTGTTACACTATTCTCCTTAGTACGGCTAGCAGTGTTGGTATTATCACTATCATTACTACTCTTCTGGCTGTGGCCACCATGTCCTGAGGCACGAACTAATACCCAAGCCCGAACCGTACCGCCCTGAGCCGTGTGCCCTAGCCCGAACCCCAATCGCGCTGACCCTAACACCCGAACCCTAATACCTTACCCCTACCTAGCCCTAGAACCCTACTCCGAACCCTACCGCCCTAATTTGAACTAACACCCTGACCCTAACACCAATACCCTAACACACGAATCCCAACACTAAGATCCTAATCCTAACACTTTGGCCCTGACACCCTTACCCAACCCCTCTAAACCCAACACCTTGACCCTAACACCAAAATCCCAACACCCTAAGCCGAATACCCTAACCCGAACACCCTGACCCTAACACTCTAAGCCTAGCACCCTAACATCCGGAATCTAACCCCTAAGCTCTAACCCCTAAGCCCTAAGCCCTAAGCTCTAGGCCCGAATCCTAGGCTTTAGACCCTAAGACCTAGGCCCCATGCACGAAGGCTTACGCCCACAGCCCTAAGCTCTAAGACCTACGGTTTAAGCCCTAGTCTCGGCTGGGTGTGTCCAACTCCGCCGTGCTTCCCAGGAGCCCAAGAAAGTGGCGACGGTTGCGAAGTTCCCAGCACCCCAGGGAGCTGTGAGGTCCTGGCTGAGTGGGCGTACTTCCCTACTACTCCGTGCCTCTCAGAAGCCCACGAAAGTGGCGACGGTTGAGCAGTTTGCAGTTCCCCAGGGAGCTGCGGGGTCCCGGCTGCGTGCGCATAGTTCTCTACTCCGCCGTGCCTCACAGGAGAGTGGCGACAATTGCGCAGTTCGCAGCCCCCGAGGTCTCGGCTTGGAGTGCGTACTCCGCTACGCCGCTGGACCTCCCACGAGCCCACGAAAGCGGCGGCAGTTGTGCGGTTCGCACTCCCCCAGGGACATGCTGGGTCCTGGCTGGGTGCGCGTAGTTCTCCACTCGCCGTGCCTCTCAGGAGCCCACGGAAGTGGCAACGGCTGCGCAATTCGCAACTCCCCAGGGAGCTGCGAGGTCTCGACTGGGTGCCGCGTACCTACTCCCCTACTCCGCCGTGCATCCCAGGAGCCCACGACAAGGCGACAGGTGCCAGATCGCAGCCACCCACGGAGCTGCGAGGTCTCGGCTGGGAGCCTGTACTCCCCTACTCCGCTGGACCTCCCAGGAGCCCACAAGAGCGACGGCAGTTGCTCAGTTCGTAGCCATCCATGGAGCAGCGCCGGAGGAGGCAGGAGGAGGCAGGAGAAGGAGAAGGAGTGGATACCACAGTGCCCTATGCAACCCGAGAACCCCACATGGGAGGGTTGGGAAAAAGTACTATGCGGTGCATACCGGCTGCTGTAACCATCGCCTTCTCAAGCCTTCAACCCTCATGATCCTATGCAACTAGTATGCTTTTCTGCACTGCACATCCCGGATCTAAACCCAGCTCCCCAGGGACATCCCCGATGTCACAGATTCGCAGTTCGCAGCCGCCCAGGGATGGCGAGGTCGAATATAGGTTTGCGTAAGGTGTCACTACCCTGGATCCCCCAACAGCCATCGATCGTGGCGACAGTTTCGCAGTTCGCAGCCACCCAAAAGATGCCGAGGTCTGATTTAGGTCTGCATAAGGCGTCACTCCGCTGGACCACCCACCAGCCTTCAAAAGTGGCGACGGCTGCGCAGTTCGTAGCCCCCCAGGGATGGCGAGGTTTAATCTAGGTCACCCCTGTTGTAAGCCCTTCACGAGGGAAATCTGTGCCGCTCACGATCCTCTGGCCCAACACACACAGAGATTCACCGCCCGAACCCCCTCCGCAAAGGAGGGAGGGGAGGGTCCGACATGCCCCCCCCCCTCTGGCGCAAGGGTTCAATCAGAGGTGCATCCACTGGCGCTCTTGCCCAGAGAGGCCCCCAAGACGGCTTCGGATGGCGTCAGACGGGCCAGGAACGCCCTCAGACGGCCAAAGAACCTCCCAGGGAGCCTCCAGAGGCCCCCAAGAGGCCCAAGAGAGCGTCCAGAACGGCCTCCCAGAGACCGCGAGGAAGCTCCCAAGAGGCCCCAGGAGTGCCCAAGGCGGCTCCCAGGAGGCCCCCTCCTCCTCCTGGTCCACATCCGGTTTCCCAACCATCCTGTGGTGTTGGGTCTTCGTTTTGAAGAGACAGTACCCTCGCTCCTCCTTCCTCTCCTCCTCCACCTTTTCTCCTCCTCCTCCTCCTCCTCCTCCTCCTCCTCCTCCTCCTCCTCCTCCTCCACCTCCTCAGTTCGGCACGCCCCTCACACGTTTCGTCGTCCTATGGGGAGCTCCTCCGAAGGCGCCAGTGGCAGTACCCGCATACAGTTCCGCCCCCATCTTGGCGCACCCCTAACACGGTTCGTGGCACCAGAGGGAGCTCCGCCGGAGGCCCCAGTGGCAGCGCCCGCATGCAGTTCCACCCCCATCTTGGCGCACCGCTCACACGGTTCGTGGCCCCATAGGGAGCTCCGCCGAAGGCCCCAGTGGCAGCGCCCGCATGCAGAGCCCTTGGCGCACCCCTCACACGTTTCGTGCCCCAGTGGCAGCGCCCGCATGCAGTTCCACACCCATCTCGGCGCGCCCCTCAGACGCTTCGTGGCCCCATAGGGAGCACCCTCGCACGTTTCGAGGTCCCATCGGGGGTTCCACCGAATGCCCCAGTGGCAGCGCCCGCATGCAGTTCCATCCCCACCCTGGCGCACCCCTCACGCGTTTCGTGACCGCCATTTGCACCGCCCCGCACACCATCCTTGTAGCGGCGCGCTACCGATTAGGACAAGGTCGCACCCTGCATACTCGCAGCTGCGTATGTTTGGGTCATTCGCCAGGCTAATTTCGTGATCTCCTCCTCTTGTTCCTGACCATCCTGTGGTGCTGGGTCATCGTTTTGAAGAGACAGCACCCCGCGTTCCTCTCCTCCTCTCCTCCTCCCCCTCCTCCCACCTCCCATCCCTGCCTTTGTCCTCCGCATGTGTCTGTGTCGGCACGCCTCGCATGTCCAATTCGGCACACCCCTCGCACCCGTCGTGGCCCCATATGGGAGCTCCACCGAAGGCCCCAATGACAGCGCCCGCATGCAGTTCCAAATCCACTTCGGTGCACCTCTCACGCGTTTCGTGGCCCCGTAAGGAACCCCGCCGAAGGCCTCACTGACAGTGCCCGCATGCGGTTCCACCCCCATTTCGGCACACCCCTCCAACGTGCCGTGGCCCCATAGAGAGCCCCACCGAAGGCACCAGAGGCAGCGCCCGCATGCAGGTCCACCCTCCATCTTGGCACACCCCTCACACACTTCGTGGCCCCATAGGGAGCTCCTCCGAAGGCCCCAGTGGCAGCGCCCGTATGCGGTTCCACCGCATTCCCGGTGCACCCCTCACACGTTTCGCAGCCCCATAGGGAGCTCCACCGAAGGCCCCAGTGGCGAGCCCTCGTGCAGTTCCACCCTTCATTTCGGCACACCCCTCACACGCTTCGTGGCCCCATGGGGAGCTCCACCGAAGGCCCCAGTGGCAGCGCCCGCATGCAGTTCCGCCCTCCATTTCGGCACATCCATCACACGTGTCGTGGCCCCATGAGAGCTCCACGGAAGGCCCCAGGGGAAGCGCCCGCGTGAAGTTCCGCCCCCATTTCGGCACAACCTCTCACACGTTTCGTGGCCCCTAAGGAGCTCCACCGAAGGCCCCAGTGGCAGCGCCCGCATGTGATTCCACCCTCCATTTCGGTGCGCCTCTCACACGTTTCGTGGTCCCATGGGGAGCTCCACCGAGGACCCCAGTGGCAGCGCCCGCATGCGGTTCCACCCTGCATTTCGGCACACCCCTCACACGCTGCGTGGTCCACTGAATGCCCCAGTGGCCCCCCTCCTTCATTTCATGTCCCTCGCCATGCTCGGACACCCCCGTGGCAACGCCCGCATGGCTGCCCGCCACATTCCGACGCACCCTTCACTCGCTTCGAGGCCCCGTAAGAAAATCCATCGAAGGCGATACTCACAACGACGACACGCACAACTGACTGCATATGGTCGGGTCCGTCGCCAGGCGAATTGTTCCCAACCATCCTGCGATATTGGGTCCTCGTTTTGAAGAGACAGCGCCCCGCGTTCCCTCCTCTCCTCCTCCCGCTCCTCCCTCCTCCCATCCCTGCCCTTGCCCTCCGCATTTCTGCTTCGGCACATCCCACAATGCCCACTTCGGCACACCCGTCGCACGCTTCGTGGCCCCATGGGGAGTTCCACCGACGACCCCAGTGGCAGGCGCCTGCACGCGGTTCCACCCTGCATTTCGGCAAGCCCATCGCACGTGTCGTGGCCCCATATGGGAGCTCCACCGAAGGCCCCACTGACAGCGCCCGCATGCGGTTCCATTCTTCATTTCCGCACGCCCCTCACACGTTTCGTGGCCCCATGGGGAGCTCCACCGAAGGCCCCAGGGGCAGCTCCCGCATGCAGAGCCACCCTCCGCTTCGGTGCATTCCTCACACGCTTCGTAGCCACACAGGGAGCCCCACCGAAGACCCCAGTGGCAGCGCCCGCATGCAATTCCACCTTCCATTTCGGTGCACCTCTCACACGCTTCGTGGCACCATAGGGAGCTCCACCGAAGGTACCAGTGGCCCCTGTTGCTGGCCCCCCTCCTCCATTTCATTCCCTCGGCATGCTCGAACACCCCAGTGGCAACGCCACATGGCGGCCCCGCCACATTCCGACACACCCTTCACTCGCTTCGAGACCCCATAAAGAGATCCACTGGAGGCGATACTCACAACGACGGTGCTCACAACTGCACACGGTTGGGTCCATTGCCAGGCTACTTTCGCCCCCACATGTTCCCCGAAGGATTTCAACAACGGATGGAGGAACACATAGTCCGATAGATTGGCCGAGCTCTGGCCGCAACGTTCGGCCACATAGCCGTTTCCAGCAGGCAGGGGGCGGCGGTGATTCGCCGTAGGCGTCTTCGATCCGCCGCCCCCTGTTGGCTTGCCACAGGGGTGCACGGCGTGCCAGATGTTAGGTAGTCGTTCCCCGTTGCTGGCCACCGGGAGAGCAGCGCAAAGACCTCAACGTGCACAACAGATCGTCCCTGGCCGGCCAAGATGGCCCAAGATGGCCGCCGAGATGCCCCCAAGACGGCCAGGCCTCCAAGACAGTTCCTAGATGTCTGAAAGACGCCCTCAAGATCGCACAAGACGGTCCAAGAGGCCTCCAAGACGGCCCAAGAGGCATCCAAGAAGGACCTCCAGAAAGGCCCGAAGAGGGCAAAATCATGAAGTATCTTTAGGCGTTTCCGACGGCCCAAGACGGCCCCAAAGGCCCCAAGATGGCCTCAAGAGTGCCCAAGAATCCTCGAAGACGGCCCCCTGACGGCCCAAGAGGCCCCCAAGACGACCCCAAGAGGACCCCAAGACAGCCCAGGAGACCTCTAAAACGCCCAAGGTGGTCTCCAAGACGGCCCCGAAGCGCCCGAAGAGGGCCTGAAGTCGGCCCAGAGAGGCCCCCAAGACGGCATCCGACGGCGCCAGACGGACAAGGAACGCCATCAGATGACCAAAGAGCCTCCCTAGGAGCCTCTAAAGGCCCCCAAGAGGCACAAGGAAGCTTCCACGAGGCCTCCAAGAGGCCTCCAGAGGGCCTCGGGAAGCTAATAAAAGGCTCCCAGATGGCCTGATCCTCCTCCTCCGCCTCCTCATCCTCCTCCTGGTTTCTCTCGCTCCTCCTTTTCTTCTTTCACCCCGGCACGTGTTCTCGGAAGGGGTTCCACAACGGCTGGGAGACCACATAGCCCGATAGCTTTGCCGAGTTCTGGCCGCAACGTTCGGCCACACAGGCTCTGTCATCACCATCATCACCATCATCATCATCATCATCATCATCATCATCATCATCATCATCATCATCATCATCATCATCATCATCATCATCAGCATCATCATCAGCATCATCATCATCAGCAGCAGCAGCATCAGCAGCATCATCCTCATCAGCATCAGCATCATCAGCATCATCAACATCATCATCATCATCATCATCATCATCATCATGAGCACCATCATCAGCATCAGCATGATCATAATTATCGTCATCACCATCACCATCACACCATCATCATCAACAACAACAGCATCATCATCAACATCATCATCATCATCATCATCATCATCATCATCATCATCATCATCATCATCATCATCATCATCATCATCATCATCATCAATCATCATCATGAGCATCATCATCATCATCGTCCTCATCAGCATCATCATCAGTCTCAGCATCATCATCATCGTCCTCTTCCTCCTCCTCATCATCATCAACATCATCATCATTATCAGCATCGTCGTCGTCGTTGTCGTCGGCGTCATCGGAGTCATCGTCGTCATCAGCATCATAATCACCACCATCATCATCCTCATCATCACCACCATCAGCATCAGCATCAGCATCATCATTACCATCACCATCACCATCGTCTTCATCATCAACAGTAGTACCACCATGAGCATTATCGTCATCATCATCATCATCAGCAGCAGCAGCATCATCATCATCAGCATCAGCATAATCATAGTCAGTATCAGCATCACCATTCCCATCACCATCCGCATCGTCAGCATCATCAGCAGCAGCAACAACACCATCAGCATCGTCGCCATCATCAGCATCATCAGCATCAGCATGATCATCAGAATACAACAACCATCACCACCATCGGCAGCATCGTCATCGTCATAATCACCACCAACATCATCATCATCATCATCATCATCAGCATCATCAGCATAACCGTCACCACCATCGCCATCACCATTACCATCACCATCACCCTCACGACCACCACCACCATCAGCATCACCATCATCATCATCGTCGCCGAGCCCCATCTCCGAGGTGCGTGGGTGAGTGTGCAGGCACAGCTCGTGGTAGAGGTTGCAGCCGGGCTTCTTCGCGGTCACGCCCACGATGCCCTCGTTCAGGAGCCCGCACAGCCAACTGCAGAGGCCGAGCGACCCAGATCTGCCGGCAGAGGGCCAGCGCACGGCAGACCCACGCTTTGAGCACGCTGGCGCTGGCTTCTGGCATCGCATGGGTCGTTCGGCCTCGAACGATCCGCAGCTCTCCGCTGGCGCAGGTCCCTCGAGATCCGCCGCTCTGGGGCCACCAGCGGCGAGCACGACGGCCGAGCGCTGGAATGAATGTCATGCGGCGACATGTGTACGCAGCTCTCGATAAGGCTGGCAACGGCATGTGCATCCGACTTCCTGGCGATGGTGTCCTCCCCGTCCAGGGGAGTCACCTTCACCAGGACCCGCCTGACCGTGTCACCAGGAGCCAGGAGGGGGAAGTCCCACGAGCCCTCGGAGCTGAGGTGGTCTGCAGCGCGTCCTCTTCCAACCCCATTCTTCCCCATTCGGGGAGGGGTTAATCACTGCTCCTCCTAAGATATGCACCAGCTCCCCCACTCTGCCAGCCCCTGACCAGGGCCAACGTCAACCTCCCACCACCATCCCCGTCAAAGAAACGTTACCGAATGCTCTGTGCGGCAAAATCTGGATCATGCGATCACTTCACTGCGCTCTCCGACAGGGACGAGGGGGGCATTGGCACGTTGGCCCCACGTGCGCAGGCCCACCGTCGCTGTCAAAAGGCCAACTCGAACTACGCTGCGGCAAAAAATCTGTGACCTCTCACGGGCGCCCCGCGATCACTCTGCTGTGCTAGAAAAAGCACTGCTTGTGGTGACCCAGCACGCGCGGCGCACCCCGCGGGCGTAGTGCACCTGGGGCCGGCGCCTGCACCGGTTCCCGACGGCTGTCGGTGGCGGCCCCTGCCCACGCTGAGACTCCAGTGCTACCTGTGCGGTGGGAGGGCGGGCGGGAGCGAGCGAGCGGCCCTTCGGGGGTGGCGGCTTGAACCCTCCCCCTGCCCCTCCGCCTGGGTCTGGACGGAAGGGGCGGGGACCGGTGAGAGCGCCCATGGTGTCACGAGACGGCTTCAGGGCGGCACAAGAGAAGTCCAAGATGGCCTGCAGGATGTATTGAGAAGGATATCCCAAGACCCCTCCAAGACGGCGCCAAGTGGCCAGGGAGCCTCCCCCAAGGATACCCCCAGGAGACCAAAAACCGTCCAACACTGAGGGGAAACAAATGATGTTGGCATGATCGTCTCTTTCGATTCCGACGGGATCGCTTCACGACGTCCCAAGAGAGGCTCAAGAGGGGCCAAAGGGTTCCAAGGCTGCCCCAAGAGCGCCGAAGAGCGGCACAAGAGGCGACTTTTCGGGCCCCAGCAGGGCGGCGCTTAGGGGGGCCCATCCCTGTTCGAATCGAAGAAGCCATGCCATGACGGCACATCGGCTGCAGTTACAATGGAGCTGTTTTGTTTTGCCTCACTCCCCGTGATTCAACTAACAGATCATTGAAAAAGCACGCACGAGGTGGCTGAACATTAGGGGGGGCATATGGGAGGCGTTTGACCCAAAATGCCTCCACGACGGCAAGATGGCTTCCAAGATGGCGCAAGATAGTGTAGTATTCATCGGTCGGAATGAGTAGGTAGAAACATGAAGTAGGAAGGCGTTGAAAAGAGATTGGGTGTCCGCCCGCCCCCTAAGGAGGACGGAAAAGGTGAAGCCACTCGATCATTGAAGTAGGAAGGCGCTTGAAAGAGATCGGAATATGGGACTCCAAAAATACCTACTTTCAACGACCGATGGGTAAGATCGTTTAACATGGCTTCCGAGACGCCTCCAAGAGAACTCTGGACGGCCAGAGCACGGCTCCGGGTAGCCACGGAGCTTCTCCAGAAGGCCCCCAGGAGATCAAAATCCTTCTAACACCAAAGGGATACCGATGGTCCTCCTCCTCCTCGCCTTATCGCTTCCGATGAGCGCCAGAGGCATCAAGATGGCTCCAAGATGGCCCAAGAGAGCCCCAAGTGGAACCCAAGAGGGCTCCTAGAATGCCCCGTAGGACACCCCAAGACGGCCCCGAGAGACGACTCTTGGCTCTCCAGGATGGCGCTTCTTCACTCGATGGCCTCCATGATGGCCCTAAGAGGGCCCTCAAGACTCCCGAAAGAACCCCAAGAGGCCCTCGAAAGGCCTCTAAGAAAGCCCTGGAGCCCTCCCAAATTATCCCAAGAGAGCGTCAAGATGGCCAGAGCAAGCTGAAAACAGGCTCCCTCGTCGAGGGATCCGCAGAGGCATTTCGGTCAACTCATGGGTCTCCTCAGACTGATCCCGAACTTCGATTTGACGACTGCCCCCCTCTTTGGTCCGCTTGCTCTAGACTTCCCTGATAAAAGGAAACTCGCCTGGGCATCGTTTTCTGGACGGCTGGTGGGAGCACGCGAAGCACCTAGAAGTTCCGACCCCCTCACCTGGCAACATCGTCGGAGCAATGCACGAGCGCCGCCAGCACAACGAAGCTGCCGTGGTGATGCCGCGCGAAGTGGAGCAGGTTCTCTGCCAATGCACAGACAATGCGCTGCTTGAAATCCTCTCTCCCGTGCTCCAAAACAGCCTCGAAGGTGTGGTGCGCGTATGCGTGGTCGATCAGACCTTTCGGCCTGTTCAGGAGCTCATCGATGAGAGCGGCACACTCCGGTCGCCTGCCGCAGTGCGCCAGCAGCTGGATCACAATGCGGCATCCGTAGCGGTGGCGCGCGAAGTCCACCATCCGGCCCTCGAACTCCTGCAGCACGGCGCCCATCCTCTCCGCGGGCAGCACGTTGAAGATCTTCTGGGCGACGTAATTGGCATTCGGACACCTGTACATCTCCGACATGTGCCCGTGGAGCTCCGTCAGCAGGGCGTGGAGCGTCTCCCTGTCAGCATGGTCTAGCGCCCACTGCAAGAGCCTGC